TACAGGAACTATTCGAGCCGTTCATGCCAGACTGGGGAGAGAGGTGTTGTAATAATGTAAAATATGTGAAAAATACAACCTAGTATGAGAGCTTGTTCTAGTACACCCCCAAAACAAAATCAAGACTTTGTAAAAGAGCATAATAGGACCCCTTTAAGTAGTTTTTATGCATTCAAATGATTAGACATGCTAAAAGAGAGAAATTGGTAACAATAAAACATAAGGTGAGAAAAAAATAAAACATTTCATAGGGCCCTAAGCATGCATTTTTTTAAAAACCTTTAATAAGTTGATGTGAAATTGTGTTTCATGATTTTAATTAATTAGACATGCTTTTTGATTAATACAATTTTATTTAACTGTTAAAAAGGAGTCCAGAAAAAAACTGAATCCAGAAAAATGAAAACGTAATTAGGAAAAAATTTTAAATGGAATTTGGGAAAAAATAAAATGATTTCATTGGGCCCTACACAGGTGAGCACACTCCCACCAGCGGACAGATAGTCAATCATCCTCATCCCCCCAAAGCTGTAAACCCAGGGAAAACACTGGATAGCCTAATAAATCATGGATTTAACAACGTTATTTACCTCATCTCCGCTGAAGGGCTTCTGCGCACAAAAAACAAGAAGCCCTGCATGCACACGCAGGAAAAAGCATATTTATTTTAAAGTATCCGAGACCCGACCCGTGTCTGAGGCACTCGTAGAGGTTTTGGACCCAAACCCGCTCTTGGATCTAAGTGGATCCGTGAAGACCTCTAGCCTGTCTGTGTGCTGTGTGTCAGATAACTTCCAGACGGCGCAGCTGCTGGCTCTGATCCTGGAGCTGCTGACCTTCTGCGTGGAGCATCACACGTACCACATCAAGAGCTACATCATGACCAGAGACCTGCTGAGGAGGGTGCTGACGCTCATGAACTCCAGACACAGCTTCCTGGCACTCTGTGAGTATCCTCACGTCTGGGAACTAGGGATGACCCAAATTAAAATTCCACGAGCACAGTTTTTCCCCATGCATTTTGCTCTTTTTTTTCACCATTGCATAAAGTAGCCAAAATGTGCTTTTTACTGTTTTCAACAAAAAAATCAACTACAGAACAATTTAAAATATTTAACACTGAACATTTTTTAGCATTCTAGCAGACATTATACCAACAAAGCACAATGTAACTTAAAATTAATAAGTTAGTAAAATAAAATGAGACCCTCTTCTTGAATCGGGCATGTGATTGGCTAAAGACAAATAAGAAGGAAAACTGGACACTTTAAACGGCAAATCAGCATATGATTTCTGAAGATCATGTGACACTGAAGACTGGAGTAATGATGCTGAAAATACAGCTGCGCATCACAGAAATAAATTACAGTTTACTAGGGATGCACCGATACCATTTTTTCAGAACCGATCCGATACCAAAAATTCTGAATATCGGCCGATACCGATCAGTTACCAGCAGTTTTTTTTTTTTTTTAATAAATGTAGAATTTCTATACCTCAGTGTGTTGACTTGATCATCACTCTTGTGTGTGTTAAACACAATCTACTAAATAAAGACAACTTCATTTTAAAGAAAAATAACAATTGAAAAAAATATATATAATCGTAACCTATGACAAAAATACTATTATAAACTAGGTTAGTGAATAATTCAGCAGCAAAACTATTTCTAGAAAAATCATGAGTGCACAATAATACGATTTAGTGAAATAACATTATTTAGTGGGTAACAAATATAAGTGAATAAGTGTAGCACTAAAGCTGGTCAAATGTTACATTGCTCTTTGTTTTGTTGTAAAATACATTCATGAAAAACTATATATATATACAGTGGTGTGAAAAAGTGTTGGCCCCCTTCCTGATTTATTTTTTTGCATGTTTGTCACACTTTAATGTTTCAGATCATCAAACAAATTTAAATATTAGTCAAAGATAACACAAGTAAACACAACATGCAGTTTTTAAATGAAGGTTTTTATTATTAAGGGAAAACAAAATCCAAAACTACATGGCCCTGTGTGAAGAAGTGTTTGCCCCCCTGTTAAAACTGTGGTTTATCAACACCTGAGTTCAGTTTTTCTAGCCACACCCAGGCCTGATTACTGCCACACCTGTTCGCAATCAAGAAATCTCTTAAATAGGACCTGCCTGACAAAGTGAAGTAGACCAAAAGATCCTCAAAAGCTAGACATCATGCCGAGATCCAAAGAAATTCAGAAACAAATGAGAAAGAAAGTAATTGAGATCTATCAGTCTGGAAAAAGTTATAAAGCCATTTCTAAAGCTTTGGGACGCCAGCGAACCACAGTGAGAGCCATTATTCACAAATGGCAAAAACAACCTTCCCAGGAGTGGCCGGCTGACCAAAATTACCCCAAGAGCACAGCGACGACTCATCCAAGAGGTCACAAAAGACCCCACAACAACATCCAAAGAACTGCAGGCCTCCCCCCAATTGTAAGTCGCTTTGGATAAAAGCGTCTGCTAAATGACTAAATGTAAATGTAAATATTTAGCACCGTAATGGAGGCAGCAACATATGATAGATAGGACAGAACAAGAAAGGCTATTAATAATCTTTCATTGTGCAAAAGTATTATAATACGAAACGCTCAATACAGAGCAAAGCGCTTATGCACAGAATGATGCACTTGAAGCAACACAGCGTGCAGTATAGAAATGTTCAAAGCAAAAAGTGAAGAGATATTAATGCGTAGTGTATTAAATCTGTGCAATAGTTTGAGACTTTTCTTTTAACTGTTTTAAATCTCAGTTATTGTGCGCTCTTGGATAGAGTTTGATCGTTTTGACTGTAGTAACCGAATGCGGCACGCAGTTTGAATGCTGAATGGAGGATGACAGTCAGACGCAGCGGAGAGAAGAGTTTACGGGAACTTACGTCTTAAATATTAATCTATACTTCACATTAAACTATGCTTCAGAACACTTGGAATATAGAGCACGGAAACTTTATGGTGCTTTATAATGTTTTTGTGCTTTTCAGCAAGCTTAACAATAACAGAATAGTATACGCACTATATCGGATTTGGATCTCTCTCGTCTGACCAAAACCCGATCCGACAGAAAATGCCAGTATCGGAACCGATACGGAGTATCGGATCGATGCATCCCTACATTTTACTATATGTTCACTTACAAAACAGTTATATAAATTCTAATAATATTTCCCAATATTACTGTTTTTTTAGGGATGTAACGAATAACTGCGAGCCGGTTGAAAATCGATTCAAATATGTGATGATTCAAATCGGTTGAGATGCTAAACAAATCGCGATACAATAGGAGTAGGAGTGTATATGAATGTATCTCTGAGGGGAGCTGACTGTCTTTAGAAAAGTTTACGTAGTATTTTCTTTTCATCTTGCCTCTGAACAATGCATATTAAAGTAGTGTTCATAAGCGCAGCTCTGCTTTGTTTACAGCGGTAACCAAGGAAACACTGTATCATTACTGTTCATAGCGCAGCTCTGCTTTGTTTACAGTGGTAACCCAGGAAACACTGTATCATTGCTGTTCATGAGCAGCTCTGCTTTGTTTACAGCAGTGACCCAGGAAACACTATTATTGCTGTTCATAAGCGCAACTCTGCTTTGTTTACAGTGGTAACCCAGGAAACACTGTATCATTGCTGTTCATGAGCAGCTCTGCTTTGTTTACAGTGGTAACCCAGGAAACACTGTATCATTGCTGTTCATGAGCAGCTCTGCTTTGTTTACAGTGGTAACCCAGGAAACACTATTATTGCTGTTCATAAGCACAGCTCTGCTTTGTTTACAGTGGTAACCCAGGAAACACTGTATCATTGCTGTTCATGAGCAGCTCTGCTTGTTAGCGGTAACCCAGGAAACACTATCATTGCTGTTCATAAAGCAGCTCTGCTTTGTTTACAGCGGTAACCCAGGAAACACTATCATTGCTGTTCATAAGCGCAGCTCTGCTTTGTTTACAGCGGTAACCCAGGAAACACTATCATTGCTGTTCATAAGCGCAGCACTGCTTTGTTTACAGTGGTAACCTAGGAAACACTGTATCATTGCTGTTCATAAGCGCAGCTCTGCTTTGTTTACAGTGGTAACCCAGGAAACACTATCATTGCTGTTCATACAGCAGCTCTGCTTTGTTTACAGTGGTAAGCTAGGAAACACTGTATCATTGCTGTTCATAAGCGCAGCTCTGCTTTGTTTACAGTGGTAACCCAGGAAACACTGTATCATTGCTGTTCATAAGCGCAGCTCTGCTTTGTTTACAGTGGTAACCTAGGAAACACTGTATCATTACTGTTCATGAGCGCAGCTCTGCTTTGTTTACAGCGGTAACCAAGGAAACACTGTATCATTGCTGTTCATAAGCGCAGCGCTGCTTTGTTTACAGCGGTAACCAAGGAAATACTGTATCATTGCTGTTCATAAGCGCAGCTCTACTTTGTTTACAGTGGTAACCCAGGAAGCACTGTATCGTTGCTGTTCATAAGCGCAGCACTGCTTTGTTTACAGTGGTAACCCAGGAAGCACTGTATCATTGC